AGTGCGTTATATTGAAGTAATTCTTTCGCGTGGAAGGCAACATCAGGTAAAATCTAAAGTATGGCCGCGCTATAGCTCAAGCGGTTAGTCGCTGGTTTCCCACAGCGGCGGCCCGGTTTCGATCCCGGGTCTGGTCAAGTGGGGTTCGTGGTGGACAAAGTGGAGCTGGACCAGGTTTTCTCCTAGTACTTCGGTTTCCACTGCCAATCTTCATTCCACAAAATTCTCCATCATAATAATCACCCGGGGCAAGCTACAATAGGCCAATCAGTGGTCGCCGTGCCGAGCGGACCCAGTTGGACTCCACCCCCCACTAAGCGAATTAAAAAAAAAATCCAAATTAGGACTTCATAAAAAGCCACTGAAGTTGAATGATATGATGAACTGAAATGCATGAAACTCGACAATTTATAATCGCTACATTTGTTAACAGATACCGCATATAATTAGGCCCATGCGTGATTAGAATGGTTCTATGGCTTGGAATGAATTGTCTCGAGGGTTTTGATAGCATATACTTTTACTAACTTTCTATGAATGCTGTAATATTTCCGTTTATATTTCAGGCGCTAGTTCTATTTTTGTCTTTGGTTTTCCTGGCCACGACGGAGTCCAAAGAAAAGAGGAAAGCTGATAAGCGTGGAGTACTCATCAATGTAGGTAATGACGGAAAAGCTGGTGGTGGAAGTAGCGTAGGAAATGATGCCTTCGGTGGTAACGGAGACAAGGCTCCCTACGTTGGAGGCAGAAATGCCGATCATCTGGGACAGGGGTAAGGAAAATTGAAGTGAAGTAACTACACGTATCCAAACATATCAACTGAGCATGAACTGGCAGGTACTGAAGAGGCAGCATATTGACCATTCCGCTGTATCGTGTTTGCGGAAGATTTCCATGGTTCTGTTTTCGTCACATATTATGATATAAAAGCGATTGAACTCGGGTAATGCTTGCTACCATTCAGTCCAGAAACTTTTGTCTTCTCGTCTGTTGCCCCAAAACATAAAAATTAGAATATTCAAAACTATAATTTTGCCTGTGGTTCTGTATGGGTGTGAAACTTGGTCTCTGACATTAAGGGAGGAACATAGACTGAGGGTGTTTGAGAGCAGGGTGTTGAGGAGAATATTTGGACCGAAGAGAGATGAAGTGACAGGAGGTTGGAGAAAACTGCATAATGAGGAGCTTCATAACTTGTACTACTCCAAGTATAATTAGAATGATCAAGTCAAGCAGGATGAGGTGGGCAGGTCATGTAGCACGAATGGGGGAGACGAGGAATGCGTATAGGATATTGGTGGGAAAGACAAAAGGAAAGAGACCACGAGGAAGACCAAGGCGTAGGTAGGTGGACAATATTAAAATGAATCTTAGAGAAATAGGATGGGATGATATGGATTGGATAGATCTGGCTCAGGATAGGGACCAATGGAGGGCTCTTGTGAACACGATAATGAACCTTCGGGTTCCATAAAATGCTGCGAAATTCTTGAGTAGCTGCAGAATTAGCGGCTCCTCTAGGAGGGCTCAGCTCCATGAGTAAGTTTTAAGATATAAAAGTTCGCGACGATGGTGCCTTACTGAAATTATTGATTTTTTAGACATTAATCATCGTAATTTTTATTTGTACCTCTAGATTTTTGACGCAAAACAGTAGGTTATTTACATGAGGACGGAAACAGATTTCAGTCTCCGAAACGCCTCACATGAGAACTATGACGACAGAAAAATCCCAAAAATATTAACATCTTATCATTGTACTACGTACGTGTGTCACACTTTTAGAAAGTATCATTATCTTGAGGCAAGTTCGCATTATATGAAGCTAAAATCTCCCTCACAGACAGTGCCGTGTGAGCAGGTCCTTTGGGACCATTTTTGCACTCACCTTCCTCATGGCAAAATCTTCAGTTAAGATTTTTCTGTTTCTCTGTCGATGTTCGCTTGCTGCGCTATGCTCCTGACAGTAGCCGACTATTTTTACGCATAATTTGACGAACATTTGTAATATTTTCTTCAGTTCTGCTCGTTGCTGGCCCTCCTGATCTCTCTTCGTCAATTATATTTTCTCTTCCCTCAAAAAAAAAAAAGTGTCACCCATTTCTAAACTCTTGTTTTCTTCAGAGCATTATCCCCGTAAACTGGCACTAACCTCTCTCTGATTTCGCTTCCACTCTTGCCCAGTTTAACAAGAAATTTAATGTTCGTTCCGACATTCTCGCGAAGGCACACCATAAACACACTCAGACAATGATAGAAGCCACTCAGAAAGAGACTGCCATAGATCAACAACAACACAGCTGTGAAACGCTGATATGCCAACGCCATCAAACCATACTGAGGTTTCTGTCCACTGCTGCCACGGCAAGCACACGGTGGCAAGTTCGTAATCTTTATTGTCAGAGCACGTATGTCACAAGTTGATTTTATGTGCCGCCAAGGCCTTCTAATTTCACAGGCACGCGAAATACCACACCATCCACCTGGCAACAATGCGAAATCCAGTATCCAATTATGCATTTCTCTCGTCAGGTTCAGTAATGGCGTTGGTCAGACCGCAAACGGAGCGTCCCTTTTCCAGATTCTTCGAGCGGCGCGCCCAGTCCCTGTGGCAGTGAGCAGTCACGTCCCTGTGGCTGTACCGCAGCCTTACCCAGTGACAGTCCCTAAACTGTACCCTGTAGCTGTCCCTCATCCTGTGACAGTGTCTGTTCCCCGACCATACCCAGTAAGCGTCCCTCGTCCCGTTCCTGTTCCTGTACCACATCCTGTCCCAGTTCCCGTCCCTCAACCTGTTGGAGTTCCTGTCCCAAAACCTTACCCCGTCCCTGTCCCTCACCCAGTCCCTGTACCATCCACCTTCTTGGCGGGTACATCAGCGGGTGGCATTCCTTTTGGTGGACTTGAAGGAGGTTTCTTCGGCCTCGGCCGTGGTGCAGCAAGCTATGGCGGTGGTGTCTTCCTAGCACCGGCTGAAAGTCATGGTTTCACCACTGGCTATGGGTACGGCTGGCCTCCAAGTGACCTTTCATATGGACATCAGATTCCTCTACGGTTACCAGCGTTCGAACCATCAAACAGTGATGATGGTATCAGCGGAAACACTCCCGGAGCAGCCTACAATGGCCAGGGACAACACCAGCCTGCATCTACTGATGCTGTAGTAGCAGGCAGCCCTTCTCATAGCTTCTCGTACGTTCAGAACGACAAAGGTGTACCGCCATCACCTCCAGCAGTTGTCCCAACCCCTTCAAGATCTGAAGTCCCTGCACTCCCAGGAGACGGCTATCACCATGGTACTGGATACAAAGTGTGATCACAATCAGGTTAAAGACTGTAATTATAGTTCTGGAACTTGCGGTGCTACCCTCGCATGCATATCCGCTTCATATCAACTTCCCGTTTACACTCTCCGCGTTACTTAATAATGCGCTGCACTTTGATGTCTTTCTCTCCCCTTGGGAGACAGCATTACGGAACACACGACGCAATACAAGGTTCGCAGCTTCATATACATTTCCATGTACTTTCAGTCAGGCGGAAACCTTTACATTGGACACCATGACGCTAGAATCCCAACTCGGTCTCTTTAAGTTATGTCGTATGACTCGTGTAGTTCCTCTGCCGTCTGTAATGCAACACGCTTTTATTTTAGATGACACCAAACTTACATTCAGCTCATTAAAATGTCAGTTAAATATTCTTAAAATGTCATTAACCCTTTAAAGACCGAATTTCTTCCAAACTAAATATATAAATGCAGTTCGTACCTCACAGGAAACACATTGTGTCTCCGCTACAAAACCCAACAGGTTAATGCTGTTTAGGGAAATATCCGATGCTTATTGTGAAAACCATATGAAACACACAAACACACTGTGTGGGCAGAATGCAGAATTCTAGTATGTTAAACCAGGTCGTGCATATAGTAACCATTAGGCGTTAAAAGGTTAATACATACAGAGTCTATGTCTGGCTACATGTTTCGGCCTCGCAGGGCCATCTTCAGGCAACACATGTTTATGGAACCTGCTTCGTTGTGCTCGCATTTGTCTATAGTACTCGTTCGTGCACGTTTTCACTATTCTTAGTTTTGGTGTTTTGAATGTCTGCTCTTCGTATTTCGGCTTCTCTCTGTAATATGTAATACATGTTTCTTAGTGTGAATTTCTGTTCAGTTCTCCGGTGTCTACTCTTGTATGTTTCTACTTACGTGCCCCTTTTGTACATGCAGCCAGATATAGAATATATTTTAATGAAATTTTAAGAACATTTTAACGCAAAATTTAGTGAGCTGAATGTTAGTTTGTTGTCATCTGAAATAAAAAGTGTATTGCATAATAGACGGAAGAGAAACTGTACGAGTGATGACGAAAGCAGTATTCTGGGATGTGGCATCGTGTAGAGATGGTGTTAACCGACGTTTCAGACGAACGTATCGCCTCATTCTTCAGGGTAGAAGGAAACATTGAAAATCCGCAAGGGAAGAGACCGTGAGAACCGGTACAAATAGACTCCAAAACCAGTCTGCTTGTACCGGTTCTCACGGTCTCTTCGCTCGCGGATTTCTTATTTTTCTTTCTACCCTGAAGATGGAGGCGATACGTTCCTCCGAAACGTCGGTTAACACCACATCTACACGGTGCCACATCCCAGAAGACTGCTTTCTTCATAGTCACCGCCGTGAAAACCTCAAATCTTATACGAGTGATACTTCAACGCGACAGGATGCTGAAATATAATATTATGCTTAATGTTCTACATAAAGGAACACAACCATGAAAAAGATATTCCAGAGTTTTGCTTCGCTTTAGTAATATTTCACAAAATTATAAATAACAAGTTTTTCCTCTGTACAGGTTGTCTCTTTTCTTTTTTGAACAAAATTCTCCTCTTAATGAAGTTCAACAGTAAAGTAAATGAAAACACAAGCACAATTGGCTTTATCTAATAAGGCAGGACTTGTTTCTTTCACTGACAATTTTGAGATTTCAGATTCCCACAAAGTAGGCCCGGCGAGAAACAAGAAAATCGCTAAAAAGGATGATTCATAATAATCATTTATGGAACAAATTTTACTTCAACCAGGAAGTAAGAACGAGAATTAGTATGTAAATACACACATCTAATGTTCTGATTACACAAATTAATATTAGTAAGTTTCCTTCCCACACCTGCGTTTCCACATGGCATGACACGTAAAAACCACGCAACTGACGTTCTCTGTGTTCATCAAGCTGCAGTATCCAATGTTGAAGATTGTCGTGAGGGGTTGCAGAAATCGTTATCGACAATAATCTCCACTTCATCGTATTGTTGTAAGTGAATTAGAGAGGTATGCCAAATTGTAATTTTTAGGTATTGGTGTTTTAAACATGTATGGCCAAGATGAAAGCCGTCTTCTGGGATGTGGCGCCGTGTAGAAATTGTATTAACCGACGTCGTTAACACAATTTCTACATGGCGCCACATCCCAGAAGACGGTTTTCTTCATAGTCACCGCCGTGAAAACCTCAAATCTTACATGTATAAACAAATTCATGAACACTCGGATAATGTGTTTAAAATAAAGCTTTAATCTATCTCTATAAAATGTTTTCCCAAAACCTTGCACTGGTAGGTCTGTCTAGTTACCTTTATAGTGATGCAATCTGCTTGTGTGGAAGTTATAAATAATTCACCATAAAACCTCCACAGAAACTATCTTATTGTAAGATATAGTCAGTTGCAAAGCATGTTTCTGTCTTACGAACATCATCTTGTGGAAATTACAAATAAATTATACAGAAGCCACCTACAGCAAAGTATAATTTAGTAATGGTTACTATTATAGTATATAGAAATAGAGGCCGTGTAAAAGCAATTATCAAAATAGTAAAAGTTATCACATATAAAATTAATTAAACCAAGCACTTATATATTGTTATTCACTGATAACTGATAACACAGTGTAGTCCGCTGAAATTCAACCGACGTTTCGGACAAACATAATCTGCTTGCTAGTTACTTTACGCTGGTTTCTTATTTAATTTTTTTTTCGACTCTGATGATGGAGGGGGCTTTTCACCCCGAAAAGACGGTTGATTTTCAACGGACTGCCTTCATTATATCCCGCATGGTACAACTCTTCGATTTATAAGCTTGTTCTACGTGTTGATAACGGAACTGACGCTGCTTCGTGAGAATGAAGCCTCTGTGGCTGCTGTGCGTGCCGCGATTGCATTTATGCTATTCCTTTAGCCTCAAGCTAGTACAAGCATCGTAATAAGAAGGAAGACTGAACAATTTTATACCTGGAAGAACCGAACAAGGATACGTACTATTGGTTTCTGTAAAGAAGAGCAGGTCTGAAATTACGCCAATAATTCTAGCAACAGGAAAACTGCATTTAGCGAATGAAACTGAACTCAAAGATAATAACTTTTATAGCAGAATGCATGGCAACAGGTTCCTTAATATTTTATTTAAAACTAATATAATGTATATGAATATCACTCAAGCAGATGTTACGGTATTGGTCACAATCTGTGAATAGAAATAGAAAGATACCACTATGTACGGTCGCAAGGACGAGAAGAATAAACATTAAAGTATTAAGACATTAGTCTGTTAGCAGCTGGTTCTTCGCTTGCGGATTTTTTCTTTTTCCTTCTACCCTGAAGATGGAGACGTTACGTTCCTCCGAAACAGCGGTTAACATAACGTCTACACGGCGCTATATCCCAGAAGACTGCTTTCTTCTGAAAGCATGAACTTGTAAACGGATCACTCAATAATATTACCAGTAACCCACTTTTCTCTGTTTGATAATTACGAAAATAATTCCCACACTACTAAAAATATAATTTTATATTTTGGTAGCCGATCACAGTGTCCGCGATGTCTAAGGCATGAGATGTCTTCGCTCGCTCGAACGTTGGGATCGTGGGTTCGAATTCCAATTAGGACATGAATGTCTGTGTGTGCGTTCATTTTGTTTAGGTAGCGGCCTTGCGACAGGATGATGCTCCGTCCAAAGAGTCCTACCGACTGTCTAAGATTAAGAAACTGAAATGAAACAAAACGTTTCATCGATGAACTGTGCTCCAAGTGGGAGCAACAGGAAGAAATGAAGAAGGAAAAGAAGACATTTTATTAAAATGTCAATGCGGGTTGTTCCATGTAAGTTTACACTAGTAAAACGTGGGTTTGCACAATTTTACTCTGAAACAATTTAGGAAATCTGCAAACAAAGTGTTTGGTGAAATATTTCATGGCCGGATTAATACGCACAAAATTAAAATGTGAAACACGGCCTCTGTGATCTAGTGGTCAGAGTTCCTGCCTACAAATCCAGAGGACCCGGGTTCGATTCCCGGTGATACCAGATTTTCTGAGAAATAGCGGATCTGGAACCGGGTCCACTCAGCCTCGTGAGTATAAGTGAGGAGCTATTTCAAGGAAATAGCGGCTCCGCTCTAGAAAACCGAGATTAACGACCGTGGGGATCGGTTGAGACCACGTGACACCCTCTATCCGCAAAAGTTGGCACTAACTTCGCCGACAAGCGGCGGTCGCTCGGTATACTTCGTTTGCGGACTACAGGCCACGGAGTTTGTTTATTTTTTTGAAAGATATTATTAGACATGTTCAGTGTGAATAAAAGGGTCCTGTTCCTTTTGCAGGAAGGGGTTTAATTTATAGCGAGGTGTTTTCATGAGGCATTAGTGTTGCATTTGCATTATTACTCTGAGATACTCTACACATAACGTCCATAAACTAAGACTTGTGATTCGAAGCGTTATATTTTCATAACAATGATACGAAATTTGGTAAAGTTAAATAATATGACGACACGTAGAATTACTGGGGTTTTGGACTTTTTCCATCGTCCGGAATTTTAGGTAATAAAGGACACGACGTTTCGAAAACTTGATCTGTTTCCTTCTTTAGGTGAGGAAGGAAGACACCTATTCAGTTGGGCCCCTTAGAAAGAGCTAATCTCAATCACTGGACAACTCCTATTAGATTTACCCAGCTATTTCAACATAAAGGACTAGGCTAGTTCAGTGAGAGATAACAAAAAACCATAAAATAAAAATTGTGATACAGCATTCACATGCGTGGAACTAGGATAGAAAAGAGGTAGCAATTTGTGCTAGAAATCTAGCTGACGAAAACCAAGTGCATGAGCACCAATGGGGAGAAATGGGGGAAATATGTGAAGACATATAATATCTACCCTAGAGAGTAGGTGTTTTCCTTTCTCACGTGAAGACGGAAGCAGATCCAGTTTCCGAAACGTCGTGTCCCCTATTACCTAAAATTCCGGATTAT